CAATTTTTCGCCGCGACGGTAAGAACGGAAACGAGCAATGTCGTCGTCGTCGTCGTCGTCGTCATCATCATTGACTGCGGCAGCGGTAGCAGCAGCAGCAATGCGAGTGATGGTGACGATGTCGGTGAATAACAGCTACCACCTGCCTGCTCGCTAATGCTGCTACACCCCATCGTGGACAAGTAGCAATGGGTTCTCTCTACAGCACAGCGATGGCCGCAGTTATATCGGGGGCAGTGAGCTTGAACGCCCGCAAATACTTTGCGATTGACATTTACGGCAATATCATCAATCGGCCGATTGATCTTGTGCTCGCGATAGAGCTAAGGAGAGAAAAAAGACAGGGGGTGGAATTTTTTTGTTCGGAGAGGATAAGCGAATCATCGGGGTATAATACTGTGCGAAAGTAGAATGTTATCTATTCTTTTTATTTTTTTCAGCTTTCTTGATGTTCGGGGTAGCTCCCTTCTCTTCTCTGTCCTAATCCGTCAATCTCCCGGCATCACCATTCGATGCTAAAAGATTGATTGATTGATCCCGAGTCATCATTCGATTACCGTTCCCATACCCTCGGCCCGATCTCTTTAAACCCTTGTAGAAATCCAGGAATTCACTGCTAAACTTAGTAGTCGTTAACGCTGACGAATATTGCTGGTCCTTGTAGCTAGCGCTTGAACGGGCATGAGTCAAACGGACGTCAGTCGATGCTCAAAATGCCGTCGACAATATTTTTGTCAACCTCGCTCGGGGAGTGTTCTATCAACGACAAAATCTTCCGGCCGCTCTTTATATGCTCCGTGATTGCCATCCTCATCACTGGCTAAGGTTTTGCTTAGTTGACATCGTTCGTTTTGTTAGTTTTTCTATAACATCTTTCCTTTCCTCCGCGCATTTTCCGCGTTAAAACTCGTTAATCCTTTGGTCTCGTTCTCCTCGACGATAGATATCACTACGAAGATGAAAGAACCAGACGTAGACGGTATCAACACCGTCATTGCGAGTCGCTACTCATTCGATTCGTCAGCCACCTCCAATAGGACCAGCAGTACGTCGAGTGGAACCATGCGAAATGTCAGCAGTAACGGTCGAGTGAAACGGAACGTCTCCGTAATACAATGGACAGTCATAATGTGGTACGTTTAAGTACCTGTTTATAAAGTGGCCTCCATAGAGGTCCATCTGGATGCATGCCGGTCCGTGTGTCTGCATCCGAATGGCCACATTAAATCCAAATACGCAACAGCGATCGCGAACGGAGCACGTCTAGGGCAGAACAACAGAGGAGTGAGCAACCGTTTGCGCCTACGTCGCTCTTTGTCGAAAATCGCGTACGCAGACGGGCAGAACAAGAGGTCTCTCAATTTTGCGCTGCTGATGGCAGTAACAGCTCGTGCTGACCGACAGCACAACACCTGCTGCAGCTACTGTGGCGTCCTTTTCCATGTCACGCTTAAAGAACACCGTCAAACAGACACAAGTTCGTCTCAGACATATCATGAATAACATATGCAGCCAATCGGATGTTGCAAGAGTAGGTAAAAGAGGTGGGAGGGAAAAAAAATCGAGGCCGAAGCAGTCGCGAGTTGAAAAAGTTATCAAGGTTCGTCGTCTTTAAGGTTGGTTTCGGTTCGATTAAACAGACAGACGTTAGCATCTGTATTAGATGTGGCAACAGCGGCATCAACTAGGAACTGAAATTCGATTGGCTATAAAAGGAGTAGGCCCGTTCATGTTGCCCCTTCTCCCTAAACCAGTTTGCTTTAGGTGGTCAAATTGTCTGGTCGCCGTTGGTGCAAAAGGCAGAGTCCCGTCTGCTCTCTATTTCATTTCGCTACAGGCGTTCATGTATCATTGGATGCTGTAGTCGATTCGCTGACTGATGGTTTTCAGTAAGGTGGCGGCCAGTATCTTCGTTCTCACAATAATGATAATTTTTTTCGTCCTCATTTACCTTTAAAGTCCTATTTCAATGTATCGTACGTCTACCTCGAGGCAGGGACTATTACTTCCCGTTCGTATTTTGTCAATGAAACTATCTTAAGGTTAGATCCGAAGACAACGAAGGAATAAGGTAAGGCGCTCATTCGAGCCATAAACACCGTACATGCTCAAGGTGTGCGCACGATGGTACGCAGACCTATCGATGTCCCATATATTCGAAAGGCAACGAATCAAAAGCAAAAAAAAAAGAGAGAAAATCAATGACGATCCTTCGGCGAATGATCCCCGATTAATGTTATGTTTCACTGCTGATGGTCACAACGGTGATGACGGCGGCGACTGCAACGATATCAACTTGTTCCTCCCTCATTTCTTTCTTCGTTCGTTTTTTTGTTTGCCACTCTATGATTTTTATTCTCCATTCAGTTACCTTCAACCAGTTAGCAGGAAATACATTCAGACACATAGAGGTATTTGACAAACACGCGCAGTCGCCGTCATCTACGCTACACTTTGACCGAGGATTTTTTCTTCGAAGTCGTGGACAAGTGGCCGCTGGTGCTCGACGGCTGCCATTGTTCCGATAGCAACTACTATGCAACGCGACTTACTTGTCGCACTGCATCATCGCGGTTGTATCACCTGTACGCGAACGTGGACGACAGAGATTACTTGCGGGTCCCTAAAAACCACCTTGCCATTTACGTTTTTATAGCTAGTGGCCGCTACAGCCGTTCGTGTCCTGTTCATGCCCCGCTTCATTTAGGTTAGGTCATCGGAGAGCTATCCGGACGCGACTAAACCGATCAAAAGGAAGATCGGCTGACGACTCGATGATTGACTGACTGACTAACTCGCTGTTCCCTCTGCTGCTGTTACCATCGCCGTTATCATCATTCTTGATACATTTCTTATTTCGTCTTTGCGTTTTCGTCGTATTTTCTTTCATTTTTTTTTCTGCTGCTCCTTCTCTTTCTTCGTTTGTTTGTTGCAGCAGCTGTTACCGTTCCACCATCCTGGCTCCATAATCCGCGACCAACGACTTCACCGAAGTCGTCACCGGCTTCCCCAGTGAAATCTGAAGTCGTTTTCTTGTCCCCTTGTGTGTTTTTCCCTCTTTCGCTTGCCTACCACTCCACTGCTGGTAATGGTCGACCACTACTCCTGTTATCATTCTTTTCCGCCGTCGGCCCACTGCAACTATCGTCTTCTACTAGAACGTAGCTATTCGCGTAGTGCATTGTGGCGTTTGACAGCGTCGTGAAGTGTTGGCGGACCGTCGGTCATAGCCGAAGCGGTACGCTCTGTGCGATTTTATGTTGTCTCATTGAGCGACACTGTTGGTAAGGTTTGCGAGCCATCCCGGAACAGCCGCTGTATCCGCTGCTGCTGCTGTTGCCACTACTTCACCGTCTGCCGCTTAGTTGACCAACTGGCAGGTCTTGTCGTTGGTCGGCATCTGTTCGGTGTCATTTTCCGTTCTCTCTATCGTATTATATGAAAATGATGTATAAATGCATTGCCCACTGCTCGTCTCTTGGGATCGCCAGTGCAGCTGGCCGCTTATCACGCTGCTACGTGTTGTGGGTTCCCAGTCGCGCTACGCTTTCCTCGTGTGTCGAGTCGATGGGCTCGACAATGACACCAGCGACTGAAACGTGAGAAAGAAATCAAGGGGCGAACCAGACTGGGCAAGCAATAACGGCTGTCAAGATTTCTCGTAGAAGACGCCGCGTCGCACGAATAGCAAGTATAACAATGTATGAATGGATGTGTATCTTGTAATTTCCCAACGTCTTGGGTCGCGCGGAACGTCAATACATGGACGTTTACTAGATTAGCCTCGTTTCTCGGGTTCGAGTTGGCCGGCCGATTTATTCTATGACTCGTCATTGAAACAAAGTCGACAGACTGACATGTAGACTTGTAATAAATATATTAACGTTTCATAAATTTGTACGCTGACGACACTAAGGATCGTTGCTGCACCGTACCTATATTCCCTCTTTCGTTTTGTAGTCGGCTGTAACACGTTAGATTATACTGTTTCTGTATATATTTTAGTTTTTATTTTTCACTTGATACGTTACATCATTTAACGGACTATAAACCCGACCATTTAAGGCCATAACCTATTAACTTTAGGCTGTGTGTAACGCTTTCTTGGCCGAAAAGTGGTCATTGTATCATTACAACGAGCGAGCTCGACCTCGTTGAACAATAATGTATATATATATATGTACATAATAGGTATTGTCATGTAATAGTAATTTGGTAGCCAGCACGGCGATGCCTACAATATGGAAACGCCCACAACCCATAGCCGATCAAGTCCTTATAACGCTGTAACACAAACTTTATTGTATGGGAAAATTGTTACAAATGCCTTGTGACGGATGACGTCGGATGAGACGACGCTCTCTTTCTATGTGAAGTCGTCTCTGAAAACTGAGAAACGATTTTACTTTATGCACTCCTGATTCGACCTCTCCTAACCGCTGGACACCCAGATCCGCTGCGCGCTGCCCAGCGGGACGTTTCTGGCATAGAGTAGCAAATACCATCGTGTCACAGATTACTCGAATTACGTCCGCAAATACTCGTCCATTTTCTAACCAGCAACGAGCGCAAGACCATCCAGCGAACGCATGCCGGTAACATTGCCATATTAGTCACAATTTTGACGCTGACAATCGTTGAAACCGACAAATAGGTTTCGGCCGTCGCCCCACGCCGCATCGTGTCTTCAAGGGGGACACACGGAGTCGAAGTTTGCAGACGTCAGCGCTAACGAAAACAGCACCAGAAGATATAACAGTAGCACAAAACACAACAACAATAGTAACCATAGCAACGACGACAACAGCAGCAGCAGCAGCAGCAGCAACGACAACAACAACAACAAAACATTATACGAAGAGTAGCTCTAAGAAAGAGCGCGTAGTGCTACTATATTTATGGTACAGCTCCACCGCTATTTCAAATCCCTCCAGGAACACATAAATACCCCACAGTTTGTCTAAATAATAAGGAATGGTATTTGTTTACGGTATACTTACTACGTCATGTGCTAATATTGTTGACTGATATCGCATCGCAATCGTTGACATTGCAGATACGCCGGATGGCTGACTTCAATGCCGGTGATGACCATGGTGATGGCAATCAATGCTAAGCTGAAAAAAGAAGCAATAATGTATTTTCACATGTTGTAGGGTGTAAACCACAAACGTTCACATATATTTATGTATAAAGGAACCTGGAAGATCTAGCCTTCGGTATCGGAGTAACTTCATTGAGATGGTATCGAGTTGGCGAAGCAGTCAAATCGAAGAATCTACTGAAGGTGCACCCATTGATCTACATTTGGCATATCCATACGTGTTAAAGATCACTGTGCCGCCTCCGTCTGTGGTCGCTGTAGTAGCCTCTGCGCTTAATTAACTAGTGCATTATTACTATTTGTCCGGCGATCAGCAGAAAGCGTCACTTCCTGAAGCTTCTGGTTCCTGCCTTCACCATCGTTTCTACCACTTGAGAGAATGATAAATGAGTGTGACGTCACAAGTACACATGCACGAACAGACACACGGAGACAGAACGACAGAGACGCATACATCGGTCGTCCATCTATTTGTGGCTGTCTGCAAGTATCCTGTGACGTCAGTGGGGGCTCTCTGCCACTCCCTCAATTGGTTGAGCCGTCTCATATTCTACAACAGAAATTTGTGTAGCGATGACCGTCTCGGCAGACGCGATTGCCATGGTCGCCACCAGCAATTGCCATTGTACTCGCTCGGACGGCGACTTCTGCAGAGCGATAACGCGACGCTGCTAGCAGACGCGCCAGGAGGCGGCGGCGTTACAAGCTAGCCAAATTGACAAGGATAGAATCCCTATAGACGTTTGGTTAATATAATCCTGCCAACTTGTTGGTCTTTTTTCACAATTGTAGTAGCTCTGCGTTTCTACTTCAGAAACATGTGTATATTCACCGTTAGATGTCGATCCGAATGGCGACGTATTGACTCATTGGCGGACGCAGACGCCACGGGTTGCATCGGCGGCAACCCGAACGGCGCGCAACCGATAAGCCGATCAACTGGGTTCGAAGGTGCTGATCCTACAAACCGACTAACGACAGAATGGAAGACGTAACACCGTATATCCCCTGCCGTCACCGGAGCGTCGCAGTTGACGACAAATCGTCGCATTTGATAGAAATGACAATGGCAACAAAGATGATGACAAGAGATCGATGCGTTAATCAACGATCTTTTAATAGGCGGTGTGATGGAGAGAGAAAAGGAAACTTGCTCAGGGGAAGAGGAGGTGCTTGATATGGGAAGAAACCAGTATCTGTACATTTTTGTCACTGTTTAGAGGTTCGCGCTTTGTAGTGTTGTCTTTCACATGATGAGGCATCATGAGAAATCGTGACGCTCGAATGCATGATTGGATCTATTCTCCTATATTAGCAGTTTCATTTATATTTTTTCGGTAGCGCGTATTCGTCTTCAAGACGTATGTCTCCGATGGTACTCAACGGCTATATGCTGCTTTTTCAGAAAGATCAAAAAAGCATCGTTATCTGTTGCAGCGTTAACGATTTGCCGCGCCCGCTATTTTTTAGTTAGCACTTCACTCGTCCGCTGTATCGGCATCGAATCATCAACCGTTTGATCAAACGAATAGCGCTTTATCAACCAGCTAGGCTATGTAAAGGCGGTAGTCGTATCCTCTCATTCTCGGATAGAAAAACGAAGTCACCTATAAAAATATCGGGTTCCGGATTTTTGCGTCAGCGGCAACTGCAAGAAAAGATCTAGCTACCGAAGTAGAGCTCGCTTTGGCTCATGAATTGTTTACTGGGGCTCTCGTTTCTTCATTGACATCCGTCGCTAAGCTCTTTACTCTTGAAGCTCCTCATAAGCAACGATGTCAAAGTCTGGATGTCTGTTGTCGTTACTGCAAAGGTTGATCTTGATCTTATTGTCTATCTTCATGTCGCGTCTAGCGCTGGCGATATCGTACTGGACCTACGAAACACCCTCGAATGCGGGGCCGCCCGAAAGACCCTGTTGCCGTGTCAGCCATCACAGATAGATAGTGGGCGTAAAATATACATCGTCACTATCTGAGCTTCACTCACAGTGTTTCACCAGCAACAATATCAAGATCAGCAGGCCGACTCAACCCGGCGGAAGCAACCACGCGATGCGACCCACGAAAAACAGGTAAGGCATACTATGCATTCTATCTGATGAACAATTAAGCGCTGTCTCCAGACCGAGTCTGCATTCACAGGAACTCCAGTCCAAGCCTGGAACATTCGAGCGCTAAAATACAAAGGAAGACTAGCGGTCGCAGGATAAAAAATAGGAACGGTAAAATAGCCTTTCGTCATCGCAGTTCTCTAGTACAAGGCTTTCGTTATCAACTAATGCTTTTTTAGTTAGGCGTCTCCCATTGTTCAGGAAGAAAATACTTCTAAACATTAAAAAACGCTATTTGCCTATTGACCGCTGATGCTTGCTCCATTTCGACATCAATATAGAGTGCACAAATTCTTTTTTTTTTTGCAGTGCAACAATCGTATCACACATACGTTATTGTTAACTGTCAATAATTTCATCGTTTATTTATGCCGCCAGCGTCTAGCAATCGTTCGTAGTCTTGCTCTGATGAACAGACTCTCTTACATCGGAAGAGATTATTAAAGATAACAATATTAGCACAATATCCCAACAGCGGTACCTGTCACGATATGATCTCCGATAGCAGCAGCAGCAATGACGGTAGCGATTAAGCAGTATATACCATTCTATTGTTATGGTCAATGGGTTTTACCGAGTGCGCGTCGTACATTGCTGTTACGGGTCGGCCGGCGTCCATCGGGCCATCGCTCGCCGGTTCTGTCTGCTTGTCTGGCGGCACACCGAGACACGATGCCATCATACTCTTATCTCATTGTTCGCCGTCCCGGTCTGAGTAGAGATTGAATCAGTTTCGGCAACTTTTACCTTCGGATGACTGAACGGGCTGCGATGGCGACGGCGTCCGACGGAATGATTTTTCCGCAATATTCTGCCGTAATCGGCTGTTATTAAACACTACCTCTGAAGTCCCTTCTCTGATTTGGCGGCGGTCACCCATGCTTCGCGCACCATGACCAAGGTTCGCCGTGATGAAGTGCGGTGGATCATTAACATGATGTGAAGACGCAGGAGAACTTTAAGGACGCAACCATCGATTGATTGAGATAATGAAATCAGTCATTAGTCAAAGGTTGTAGGCTAACTACCATTCTATGCCTGTTGCTGGGTGGCGTATAGCGCCCAACATGGCTCGTTGGCATGTCAACTAATATAACGATCTCTATCTAGTGTAGTGTTATAAAGTACTACCAGTTGTCAGATGATATTTGTAGGAATGGAGCGTAAACTGTTGTTTAGGCACACTGAAGCCATACGGATGGGGCTCGTAAACCCCATAGGGAAGGCGAACGATAGCGGTATTAGTTACTACCAGTCGAATCATGTTCCTATTTATTATGCAATTGATTCTGTACATTTTTGGATTTTGCTGTCCCAGCACAGCACAACAACGTAACAATAACACTTCGTTGAACGGCTACAGTCTACACGACCAACGCTGTTCACGGCAGGACTTAATAATACCTGTATCTCTATGAGATTTTAAGCATCTGACAAACAAGGACGCTATGTGTTTTCCGTAGCTATTCGAGAAGATTAAATGCCTCTGCACTTTTTAAAGCGTCTGGCGTCATTAGGGTAGAGTTGTTACACGGCTAACGTTAGACAAGGCGAGCCATAGTAATTCTATGAACGTTAAGTAAAATAGCTTCTGATTTATTAATATAATAGTAATAGAAATTATCGACTCTGTCATCTAGCCGTTGTACCGAAGTTCTCTAAACCAATATTGTCCATTCTATCAATGGCACAGTGTGACTTCTGAGACGCGATTCTGTGTAGAACCGTTACCAAACAGTTTGGTCACTGATGACGTTTCTGCTAAAGTTGCTGCCACTGTGGGATATCCCAGAGCAATAGTACGTACGCCTATTACCTACAGCGGCCTCTATGCAGCAAAAATGGTTCGACTCGAGGTATCTGTAGACTTGACAACTTGTCCATCTGTGACTGTATTTAGCATATCTCCGTAAAAAGGTTTCAGGCTGGAGTTCACTATACATTACCAGCCTGAATGACGGCGCCAAATGAGCAAGGATGCAGCGAAAGTAGCAGTCCATTTCCTCACACTACGTACCATCAACGGATCTTATATCTATAACGAATGCACCAATATAGTAGATGGAACTCCTTAGCGGAACTAACGAGCCGTGTGCCATCAGTGGACTGCCAGAGGGCTGTTCATTTCGAACTGAGACGTGTCTACCTCTAGCTCGTACTAGTTACCGATATAACATTGCTTTAAGCCAACTATAAAATGCAACGCAGCTTCTTCTAGTGTGACGTTCCAGATGCCAGCCGCAAGCTGTTATTCTACCAAAATACCAGGTTTGCTTCGTTCGACTATAGCCTGGCAACCGTCGACGAAAGCCAAGTACCTTCATATCGGCCCCAGCTTCGCTCCGCTGGTGAAGACAACAGCGGCGAAGAGGGGCAACAATAAAAGCGCGTTCAGGCCCCGAGCTCAACGATTCATACGGCAGGTACGACGCTGACTAACGTTAGCAGCATTGTTATCATGTACTAGCGTGAAGTTCAGAATCATTCAAGCATATATATATATATATATATATATACGAATAGCCAACTCGCGGAGGCAAACAAGTAAGTCGGTCGTCACTAAAATGGACTGCCTTCGGTTTTACTGGTTTACTTCCTACCCCCGCCCTCTCTATTTGCTCCTCGTTTTTCTTATATTTTGCCCCTGTCTAACTCAGCACTATTTTGCCATCCCAACTTAGATTTTGTCCTGCTGGCATTTTTGCGTCAAAGTCAAGCTGTTGGTAACCATGCGACGACTGCTGGCACGGTCGCTTTTACCAACTCGCTATTATTGATAGGCGTACCCCTATGCCTGCAAAAGCACTGAAGCTCAACGTACAGGCGTTTGTGAGACGCGGCAATGACGGGAAGGCAGAATGCCGAAGAGGAACAGCCCTTGGGAGGTTATTTGTTCCTCT